TGACATTTGGGCCATTGGAAAGACATTTTCAGTTCACCAGTTCAGTAGATCTTTTGCCCCAGAATGGTGATGAGTCATTTGTTATAAGACCCTATTACACAAAAATCTTCAGGGCCATTGAGTGATAACAGCTTGGGCAAGTCATTGACCCTGCCCTTACAGACCAGACACTTGATGGCTGTTTCCAAAAAACTTGTTCATGACGCTGCTGACGGGTCGTTTATAGATACTCAAGGTGTGAGTGCTGAGATTCAAGCAGCAGCAACAAAACAATCTCAAAAGTGAAGTGCAGGAAATGGTCATACTAAGTTATATACCTTTTATAAAAAAAAAATTTAGAACACTATAAAATTTGAAAAGTTTAAAAATTGGTTGAGGAACGAGTAACATCTTGCATTTTGCATTTTTGTGACCCCCCCAAAATGGCATACAAAATCTCTTAAGTTTGAAGAAGACAGTATTTTTGTGACATCTTGTAATCAGTCATTTTACTGGGAGTGATGTTCTGGAGCTGATTCTTCAACAGCGGTGTACCATCTGCTCTTGTCATATATTTTATTGCAAATAAAAATCAGTCTAATGACCATGAAATAAAACAAGCAAGAAGTTGGAACTTTGAAGATGGAGAATCACAAGTTTGAGTTCTTAAAAAGGTTAAATGAATTTTTGGAGTGGCCTGATTTAAGGCCACCTGCACTTTATAAAAATGGTAGTCTTTGTTAGGACATACCTGTGGTTAATTTTTCTATCTGCTGTAGTAAAAGCAAGATATAAATATGTTTTAAATATTTTAAATAGACTTTTTGAAACAAATATATGTTAAAATCCTAAGATAATTTATGTGATAGGTACCAGTGACCATAGACACAGATTCACCTGGGACCCAGAAGCACCCCCAGGTGGTTCTTAGAATTTGGAAAATACTACAGCAGGTGTTCTTAAAGTGTCCACAAGCCAGCAGCATTAGCATCACCTGGGAACTTGTTAGAAATGCAAATTCTCAAGCCCTATCACAGACCTACTGAATCTGAGGGTGGGACCCAGCAATATGTTTTAACAAGCTCTCCCAGGTGATTCTAATGTGCACTGAAGTTTAAGGACAACTGTATTACAAGTATTTTTTCATGAAATTTGCTGGCATTCTCTGGTACAGAATGCTTTCATAAAGGCAGGTTATTAAGTATAATAAGAATAACTACATATTTAATATAGTTCTTAATATGAATGCTATTTTTAGGACTTAAAGTGTTAAGAATTATTCTTGTACAAAACATATTAGCATTTTAGAACACAGCATTCCCCAGAATACAATTTGGAAAATGCTACACTGGTTTATTGCAGTAGTTAAAATCCTTTTTGTTTACAAGTAACAGAAACCAGCAATAGCTGGCTTAAGGAGAAAAAGAGTAATTTACTGGAAGAACAGGCAATCTCAAGAAGACATTAACAAAACTCAGGAAAGACAGGGACCAGAAAAGCTCTGAGAACTGCAGGAGCAGATCTATCTAAGCAGCTTTGTAACCATCTGTGTCAGAAACACTGGGGTGCTTTAAAAAAAAAAAGATTTCCATGAAATTTTACGTAATGAGATATTTAACAATTGCACAACAATTTGTATTTATGGAGCACTTTACAATTATTAAATCTCATGATATTTCTGGTAAATAGGTCCATACCATTAGCTTGATTTTATAACCAAAGCAACTGAAGCAGGGAATTGTGAGTAACATTGTCAAGGTCATACAACCAGGTTTGTGCTGAGTCAGAACTCCTGCTCCCACAATCTTGAGTTGCAGTAACAGTATATTCAGCTGTCTGTTAGCTCCCTTCTCCAGATGGGACAGGTTGGGACAGTAGGGCTTGCCTGGACAACTGGAGATGACCCCAGGTTATTCCACTATTCTTGAATATGCACTGCTGTGTATCCTGTGTATTGTATTCCATTTTCAGTATTTGTCTTTTAAGTCAGATAGGAAACTAAAAGAGGAGATAAAAACCAAAAATACAATTATACAAAATGCAACACACATACAAAAAATACAAAAATACAGTAGTATTAGTTTTTATATTTACTTATGTAGTTACCAAAACCAGTGTTCTTTATTTCTTTATATGGCTTTGAATTTTCTATCTAACGTCCTTTACCTTTCAGCCTAAGAACCCTCCTTATTTCTTTAGGGCACAACTATTTGCAACAAACTCCCTTGGCTTTTATCTTAACTTCTCTTTTGTTTTTAAAGGAAAGTTTTGCCATGTATAGGATTCTTGGTTGACAGATGGGGAGGGGGAGGTGTTTGTTTTTTCCAGCACTTTCACTATGTCATCCCATTGCCTTCTGGCTTCCATGGTTTTGAATTAGAAATTGACTGTTAATCTTATTGAAATCCCATGTATGTGACAAGTGTGTCTTTCTTACTGCTGTCAAGATTTTCTTGTAGACTCTGGCTTTCCACAGTTTGATTATAATGTGTCTAGGTGTGGATTTGAATTTATCCAACTTGGAGATCATTGAGCTTCTTGGATTGAAAGTTTTCTGCCATTGTGGGTTCAAATATTCTTTGTGTCCTTTCTCTCACCTCTCTCCTGGGACTCTCATAATGCACATGTTGATATGCTTGACAATGACCCATAGGTCCTTTGGGTTTTGTTCATTTTCTTCATTTTTTTCTTTTTGCTTCTCAGACTGAATGATTTCAATTGATCTATCTTCACGTTTACTGATTCTTCTGCCTGTTCAAATCTGCTCTAGTAAAATTTTTATCTTATACTATATATTATAAATTTTCAATTTATATTATATATTATTTCACTGTATATTATATTATATATTTTACCTCTCAGAATTTCTGTTTGATTCCTTTCCATAATTTTTATCTCTTTATCACTATTCCCTATTTAGACATCATTCTCCTGGTTTTCTTTAGTTTTTTAATCCATGGTTTACGTTAGCTCTGTAGACACATTTAAGAATAATATTTAAAGCTTTTGTCTGGTAAGTCCAATGTCTGGACTTCCTCAGAGAAAGTTTTTTTTTTCCTGTGCATGGGACATATTTTACTATTTATTTCTATGCCTTGTAATTTTTTTGTTGAAAACTAGACATTTTTGACATTATAACAAGGTGACTCTGGAAATCGAATTCTCCCCATGTGTTAGTCAGGGTTCTCCACAGAACAACTGGAAACACGCTAATCCCTTCCCTAGAAGAGGAAAAAGTCTTTGAGGATGTTTACTCTTCTCCTTGATATCGCAAAAGTTAAATACTATTATGTAAAATTGACAATACTTTAAAACTAGGATAAAATGTCAGTACATTTTTGTTACATGAGAAGAGAATGAGAGAGAAGAGAACAAATCATATACATATGGAGAAAAAACATATATATATGAAGTGGAAGAAAAATTTTGCTATTGGGTGAGTAGGGATATAGTGATTGATGTCATTCCTGTTTTCATCCCTTGAGTCCTGGACCTGTGAATATTGACTTCTGGAGAAACAGCACCATATATTAGACACTGATTGAGAGCATATACAGCCTTCTGACGAGCCTTGCCCCAGCCCTGGGAGGTATTGCCACCTAGTAGGCACTATAACTGAGTTTTCAAAAGGCCATTCCACCATTATATCAAACCAGCTGCTTCAGGATGGTAGGAAACATGGTAAGACCAGTGAACTCCATGAGCATAGGCCCATTGCTGCACTTCATTTTCTGTGAAATGAGTTTCTTGATCAGAAGAAATGCTGTGTGGAATACTATACTGATGCATAACACATTCTGTAAGTTCACAGATGGTAGTTTGGGCAGAAACACTGCATGCAAGGGAGGTGAATTTGTATCCAAGGTGTCTATTCCAGTAAGAACCAAACACTGCCCCTTCCATAAAGGAAGGGATCCAGTGTAATCAACCCACCACGAGGTGGCTGGCTGATCACCCTAGGCACTCATCAGTAGCCATAGCCAGATGGGCCTTGGTGACTGGAAGTCCATGTTGCTCAGACCAGGCATAATCTCCATCTCAGGCATAATCTCCATCCCTGCCATCATGGCCACTTCATTGATGAGCCCACTAGGTGATGTCAGGAGTGCCTGGGTAAAGAAATGGACTGGTATCCACACAATTGGTTATCCCATCCACTTAATTATTATCTTCCTCTGCTGACATCACCCCTTGTGACATTCACATGGGACACAAATATTTTCACATTTTCTGCCCAATCAGAGACATCCACAGACCTCTTCCCCAAATTTTCTTTTCACCAATTTTTTGATCATGTTCCTTCCAACTCCCTTACCAAACCATTGGCTACAGCCCATGAACCAGTATATAATTGCATTTCTGACCACTTCTCCTGAACAAAGTGAACAACTTTGCACCACTTGAAGTTTTGCCCACTGGGAGGATTTCTCTTCACCCCTGCCTTCAGGGGTATCCAAGAAAGAGGCTATAATGCTGCATATTATATTGAACCATCTGTAAACCAGGCCTGAATTTTTTCTTCCTCTGCCAACTGATTTAGGGAACTGTCCGTGAGGCCACAGGTGTAGGCTTGGAAACAGATTACTATTTTAGGAGTGGGGACCATGGGCATTTGGGACACTTCATGTAAGTAACTTGTGCCTTCAGGGCCTGCCCAGGTCTGATCACATATATATTATTTTCATTTGATCATAGAGTGCTGCTGTACATGCCCAACTTTATAGCTTGGTGAGTGAGAAAACACCCAGTTCATGATGGGCATTTCAGTTCTCACAGTACCCTAATTTAGAGGCCCATGGTTAAGCATTCAGTCTCTACTAAGGCCCAATAGCAAGCCAAGAGCTTTTTCTCAAAAGAAGAGTAATTGTCCACAGGGGATGGCAGGGCCTTGCCCCCAAATCCCAAGGGCCTATCCTACAGTTCACCTGTAGAGGCCTGCCTAAGACTCCAAACAGCATCCCTATCTGCCATTTACACTTGACGCACCATTGGGTCTGTTGGTATAAATATATAATGGAATACTACTCAGCTATAAAAAAGAAGAAATCTTGCCATTTGCAACAACATGGATGGAACCTAAGGGTGTTATGCTAAGTGAAATTAAGTCAGATGGAGAGAGATAAATACCACATTATTTCACTGATATATGGAATATTAAAAAATAAAATAAAATAAATGAACAAACAAAACAAATCAAAAACAAACACATAGGTATAGAGAACAGATCGATGGTTACCAGAAGGGAAAAAGGATAGGGGAAAGACAAAATGGGTAAAAAGGGTCAACTGTACGGTGACAGATGGAAACTAGACTTGTGGTGGTGAGCATGCTATATATAGTACATGCAGCAATCAAATTGCAATGTGGTACACATGAAACTTATATAATATTATAAACCAATTACAATCAAAAAAAGAATTACTGAAAACAACATGACCTATTGGTAAAATCACATGTTGTTATGAATTTTTTAATTATGTTTAAGGAATACTTTATATTTTGAAAATTATAAAGAAATGCAAGTGGAAAAAGCAGGCTACACAACCATGCATAATTTATATACTATTAATATAAACATAATTTAAAGAATAAATATATAATAGTAATATATTATATAATATATATAACTTTAAAAACCCAACATGTTAACATCGAATCTCTCTTAGTGGTAGGATTAGAATTTTGAAGGGATTTCCTCCTCCCTCACTCTTTAAAGGGTTTCTTTTTTTTTTTTTTAAGTTACAAACATAATACGTCTTGGCTTTAAACAATTATTAAATACATATAGTATACAAAGTCTTAAAATTTCTCTATTATCCCTTTATCCCACAGGTAACTGGATCCAGTTAGTTGCAAACTGTACCTTTGCAGACTTTTGTTGCTTCTCATCACGTACATGTCTATGACATCATTCTAAATGTATCACTGGGCAACTTGGTTTTTTTGTTTGTTTGTTTTAACCTAGTATTAAATCGAGCACATCTTTTCATCTCACTTAGAGCACCTACAATACAGCACGGAGAGCTACCTCCCGCTTCTTTGCTGAGTGATGTTCCATTGTGTGGACGACGAATCTATTTACCAGTCCTCTTTGATGAGCTTTTTGTTTGCTTCCTGTTTTACACTTCCACAGAAATAGAACAATGAACAGGAGTTATACCAGCTGAGGGTAGAAAGCCTGAAAAACATTAAATATACAAAGGGGAAAAATATCATTTCGGGTTATTTCTTTCGTACCTTTATACTTTTCTGTGTATTCCAAATCTTCTGCAATAATATATGTCACTTATAATTGGAAAGGGGAAAACAAGAGCTAAAACAAACAGTTCATTAAAGGAAGAAAAGGAAAAGGGGCGGAAAAAAAGAAAAGCATACGGGGAAGTCCACACCCCCTCCCACAGGGGCGGCACCGGGCAGAGGTGGGGGCGGGCCGCCACAGTCTGCACCAATCAGAGACCAGTTGATAACCGGAGCGAGGAGAATTTGGAAACACGTCCCGCCCCGCAAACAGCCTCGGGGTTTAGCTTCCCCAACCAGCCTGGAAACCAGCCTGGGCCTAGCCTACGTACCACTGCCGGCTGCTATTGGCTGCCAGATAACCCCGCCCATCTTCCTGCTCATTGGCCACCGTGGTTTACGTAAGAGGAGCCTGTTGCTGAGCGAAAAGAAGTAAGGGCTGCAGCTTTTGCTCAGGAGAGATGTTCGGACTGCAAACGTACGGGGTGCCTTTCGGTCAAAAAAGACAACATTACGAACCATCGTTTATTCAGTTCCTGCTAAATGCTAGACTTCGTGCTCCAAACTTTAAAATTTAATGGTTATAACCACCTTTCTTGAACACCCAACTATCTGCCAGCAACTGAGCTAGGTACTTTAAAATGAGAACAACAGTAACAATTTAAATGATAATTACAGCTCTTTGAGCACTTCATCTGAATCAAGCTTTGTTAACTGATTCGTATACATTAGTTCTCATCCACAATAGCCCCTGTGAAGGTAAACGTTACCGCCCCATTTTACACAGCAGGAAACTGAGGTTCAGAGAGGTGAAGTGACTTGCCCAGGTTCACAAAGCTATAAAGGGTTAGCACTGGACCCTTCAATTCCGATATCCTGCTTACTAGGTCAACTTGGGGGGGGGCTGGGGGGTAGGGGTACGAATGTCTTTCCAGGGTATTAGCAGGAGGAACAAGCAAGGCCCTGGGGCATTGCTCTAGTGGCAGGCCTCGGGGTGATTGCCTGAGAATGGGAATATATGGGGCCTCTAGGCGTGGAGGAGAGGAGAAGAGAGGGAGAGCAGAACACCAGAGCAATGACAGTTCTTTCTGGAAATGTGAGGCTCCTGGGACAGTCCGTTACGGTGTAAGTTGCCCTGGACTGGGCCTGGACCTCAAGGTTCTAGATTCTGCTTTTTGACCAACGTCCTGGGGACCTTGAGTAAATGCCTTCTCTCTGGACATCAGGCTTCCTGCCTGTAAGACGAGAGAGTAAGCCTGGTCTGGATCCTACTGGCCTCGGGGATATCCTCAGCAACCACACAATCTTTACTTAGCTGTTGCCTGGCCTCTTTTCGGGACCTGACAATCCTATAAACTCAAAAATGCACCCTTTCGCCAGTCTGTTCTGAGCTATAACAGGGTCCTGCCTGCAGGGTGCGCTGAGGGCTCACAGCCGACAAAGCCAAACTGGAATTCTTGGAGAGTTATCCAAAAGCACCCAGCTCCTCAGTTTTTGTAACTTATTTATTAAGAGAGGTGAGCTTTTTGAAACCTGAAGCTTTCTGTGCTCAGTATACAGTCGACGGACCTGAATTATATTTATTGCCCAACACCAGCTTTTTCCACAGTGCCTCTGGAGTGGTTGAGCTAATTTCGATTCCTTTGTTTTACAGATGTGGAAACAGATTCTAAGAGCTGAAAAAAATTCACTTGAGTTACATAGCTAAAAACTAGCGCTCTAGTTGCCTGAGTACTGGGCAGTATTCTTAGGAGATAGTTGGCTCTGTTTTCTGAGTCTGTGATTGTTATACCCCCTAATGCAGAACTCCTGGAGACAGTTTCAGTTTTGCTCCTACAGCTTGCCAGCTCAGGACCTGTCAGCCAGAAGGACCTCTCTCAGCACCTAGCCAAATGCCTGCTTAATGAGTAATTAAATGAATGAATGTGTCAATGAGCCACAGAAGTTGAGGCTGCTTTAGCTATATTAAATAAATCAGCTGGAGTTGGGTTTCTTTCCTAAAATTCCCCCAAGGCAGAAATTATATTCTGAGATGGGATGGGAGGGTGCGGCCAAACAATAAGAGCTCAGAAAATTATATCTGGGCTGATAAATCATAGCCCTAGGTATGATCAAGGTACAAGATTATTCTATTATGGCAAAATGATCCCAGAATTTGGGATCAGAAAATTAATTCAGGAAGAATGAATACAGAACCAATGAGACTCCCATTAGGGTTAAAATCTGTGAGAGGGTCTGAAGTTGAAGCCACCTCAAGAATATTTCAAAACCAGTCTAGATGTATCTTCAGGACTGGGATGTGATTGAGGAATAGAAAAAGCTTTGGCCAATCAGTGGTCTCAACATAGCTGATGCAAGAGTGGAGAGTATGGCAACAGGAGGTGGATCTTTCCTGAGCCAAAAATACAAGGCGTGGGGGAGGGGAGGAATAAGTCCAGGCAGTGTCACCTGGCCACGTCTTGCTGGGCTGGAATCTTCTCCACTGGATATCCAGAGCCCAGCACAGTGCCTGGTACACACTAGATGGTCAATAAAAGTTTACTGAGTGAAAGAGAGAGGGCGGAAGCCAGAGCCCTAACCAGCAATTTTGCTCTGAGTGGAGCTGGTTCAATGATTCATCTTCTTTTCACTCCTTCCTTTTGCTCAGATTCCAATTGCCCCAGCCACCTTTTAATGATAATTTGGCTTTTCATGGAGGCTGTTCTATAAAGAGGGATGTGCTAGCCCATCAATTATAGCCACTTGACAATCATGTTTCTCACTCCTAATTAGTATATTTGAATTCTGCTTTACAGATCAGTTCCTTGTACCAGCCTGCTTCTTACATATTCAAGGCCTTTTCTCAACAGTGGTGCAGTGGAGTTTCTGCTTTGGAGTCATTCCTGACTGGGTTTGAATCCTTATTCAACATCTTACTAAGCTTTCTGTCCTTGACCAACATACCTCATGAACCTCGGTACCCTTGTCTGTCAAATGTGGGCATAATGCCTACTTCATGAGGATGTGGTGAGAGTTACATGAGACAACAGGTGTATCCTGGGCTATTATTGAAGCCCAGTAAACAGCAGTATCTGTGCCTCTTCTGAGCTTTCCTTTCATGAAGATTGGGTCACAAAAGCTTATCTAATGAGAATTTCAGTAGCTCTTGCTTTTCACAAAATCACTAACTTTGTAAGTGAAGCCTTAGGAATGATTTAGTCACTTCCTTGAAGATTCTAAAGGGTCATTCTACAGAGGAAATCAACTCATACTCATTCACTCAAAAATATTTCCTGAGGACTCACTACATACCAGTGGGGGATTCAGAGACAATAAGACACAGTTCCTGCCTTCAAGGAGCACTGACACAGTCTTGGCACAGTCAAAAGAAAATATTGTATGACCTTGACACGAAGTTTTACTTTTCTGAGCTCAGGTTTCCTCACTTTGCAAAAGCAATCAATAACATTCCATTGTTAGTTGGAGGGAAGGGGTAAGACATGCAGACATGATAAGAAGGCTGCATTAAATTTGAAGGCCGATGGTTTAAACAATGTGTTAGAGTGTTGAAGAGTGGGAGAAATTATTTTCAGCTGAGCTGAAGAAGCAATACTTTCTGCAGAATGGGGTATTTTAAAGCCTTCATTCTGGCTACAATCACTAATGAAGGCATTGAATGCTGGGTAGGATTTTAGTGGGCAGAGATTTGCAGACAGAAAGACTTGAAGACCAACCAAGGAACATGGAGGTGGCAGGTTATAAGTCTGGAAAGGTAAACTGAGGCAGATCTTGGCAGATAGTGAATGTCAATCTAGGTATTTGACATTTATTCTGTAGCCAATGAAATGCCAGTAAAGCTGTTTGATCTAAACTGACATTACAGGGTAGATTTTAAAAATGAAAGCTGAATCTGAAATAGAGGGGAATTTAGAGGGAAATTCAATTCAAAGGAAGATTTAGTCAACTGGGGCATGTTATTGGCAGGACATTGTGGTAGGTAGCATAGGGCAGAAGACAAAGATGTTGAGATTTGAACCCTGCCCTCAAGGAGCTTATAACCAAAAGGATCAGATAAGACATGTACATGGAAAAAAGCAATCCAAGGTAGGCTGTGATAGTGTTATAAGAGAGCCCCAGCCCAAGGGCCTGAGCCCAGCAGAGGGTGAGATTAATTTACTTCTCCCAAGAGCCTGGGGGGAGGAGAGCAAGTCAGAGGGTCATCTTTGGAATTAAATCTAGACTTGGAAAGTCTTAGAGGAGACATAGGAGGTCATTCAGTCCACCTTGGCTCCTACCAGGATTTTCTATCCAAGTACACGGTGATTTTAAAATTAAAACAAAAAGTGGAGGTCTGAAGAAAACTGTGAAAGAAGAGGCTGTGGAAAGGGGACAGGAGAAGAGGAATTCAGCTTTGAGGTGCTGAGTGCTGGCGGAAGGATCAGTTCCAAATGGAGAGTTGAAGGCTGGGAAATGGATGAGATCAGGAAGGGAGAGTGTGTCTGGAGAGAGGAGGGAAGAAAACAGAAACCGGGGGAACACCCACGTTCCAGGAGGTGGGAGGAGAAAGAGGAGTCAGAAAAGGAGTGGCCAGAGAGAGGTGAGGGGGGAAAAACAAAGCAGAATACCTTGTCACAAAGTTTCTAGAAGAGGAGTGGCAGGGTGGGAGGCCCCAAGGGAACAGAAGAGGGGAAACTGCAGCAATAGGGATTGAGGTTAGACGTGAGGTTGCCAAGGACAATGAATGAAAGAAAGCTTTTCCAGAGACTCTACAAGTAAGCTGGATTCCCTGTGTCTGGTACATTTTAAGATGGAGCTCTCCCGGAGGCCAGAGGAACAGGGCTGTGAGCTGTGATCTCCAAAGATCTGGCGTTCACTTCTATAACCATCTCTACTAACCCGAACCAGTCCCTCCAGAAACTGAAAAGCTGAAGAACTGTACTTGAGAGAGATTTCACATCTGCCTCTCCCGCCCAGCCCGATGAAGTCCCGTTTCATCACGTAGCTCTAATGACTCTGCGGGTTGTCACTCTCGTCTGGTATTGCCAACTATCTGACTAAACCCTTTTGCAAAAGTTTGCAGCATTCGTCCAGGGCTGACTACAGCTCCCAGAGTTCCCGGGCGTTTCCCTGTGCCGATTGGCTGAGGCATTGGCTCCTGAGGGAGGTGTCACCCCCGCCT